ATGGGTCAGGTGGGTGAAGGTTTGGGTTGGCCCCGAGAGGCACGGAGGTAGAAGGAGTGCTCCCAGGAAGAGAGCATGTGGCTGGAGTGGCACAGCAGCACGACTGCCACTGTGCAGGACGGTCCCTCTTAAGGCTGCCAGTGTCAATGCAAAGATGAACCTCACGGGACGGAGGAGGGGGTGTAGCTTCCTTCTGAGTAGGCATGCCGGGGGCTTGGATGCTTGGCCACGATCCCTGTGGCATCTGTCTGTCAAAGGGGGCCAGGGCCTGTCCCTTCCTGGAAACCTTCAGGCCAAACGGGGGGGGGGGCAAGCATCCGTGCCGCCTTGACCTGGGTCTGGGCAGCAAAGCAAGATCTGAACTCGACTCCAGCAGGGCAGAAACAAGAAGCTCCTCCACGGCTTTGCAGAATGTCCCCAGGGAGCAAAAGAAGCCGAGGACCCCGGTATCCCACGCTGGAGGCAAGACCGTTGGCCTCCCCCAGACAGACCTCTCTCTCAGCCACCTGGCTGCAAAGCCACGGGGGGGGGGTTTCGTATCTCCACAGGACTTCCCTGACGCGGGCCAGATTCAATGAGGATCCATAGGATCCCTTCCAATCGCCTAGATTTCCATGCAAGCTGAAACCAGTGAAAAGCAAAATAAAAAAAATCAAAGGCAGCCGTTGCAAACTAGCTATTGCTGAGAGAGAGATAGAGAGTCTGCTTCTGTTCTTTGCTGAAACCGGGCTTTGTCTGGTGGCCTCTTGCTCTTTAAAAAGAAAGTTCAACCATTGGCAAAATGTCCTTCTCCATAGAGTCCAGTCACTGGAGATTGTGAAGTTCAGGGTTTTTTTGGGGGGGCGGCGGCAATTCAGTGGGGGAATTATGGGATCTGTGGCCCAGGAAGTGACCATGTCCAACTTATTTTCAGAAATGCAAAGGAAACAGGTGTGGCATTTAAGGGGAGTGGAGTGGCAGGGGAAATCAGAGTACAAATATAAGGTGTGTTGCAGACCGCTTAGCAACAGTACCTGTGAAAAGCTTTGTCGCTGAATATGAGCCAGCCGTGTAACGCAGCAGCAGAAAACCCCAAGGCAGTCCTTTGTTGCATCAACAGCAGTAGAATTTCTGAATCAAGGGAAGACATAACCCTGCTGCATTCCTCTTTGGCCCAACGTCCCTCTGCCTGATTCTTGCCACCACTGTCTGAAAGGCGATATGGACAGCCTGGAATGTGTCTGGGGGGGGCAGAGGATGACCCAGAGGGCCCAAAGTCTGGAAACGGAACCATGCGGAGAACAGTTGGGGCTGAGCACGCGAAGAAAAGACGGACGGGTGAGGGGACTGCAAAAAGACTTGAAGGGGTGGGAGACGAAGGGCGTTCGGGGAAATGGAGCCAAGCCCAGGGATGCAAATCACAAGGAAAATCCGATTCAGTGTCAGGAAGATTATCCGAAGGGTTCAACGGCGAAGCAGACTGCCTCGCAGGATGATGGGCTGTCCTAAACTGGGTTTTTTCCTTTTTAGAGTCCAGAAAGCCAGCTATTGGGGATGTTCCCCTAATGGGTTCCTGCGGCCCTTGGGATCCCTTCTAGAAGTGGGATTCTTTCAGGAGCCTAAAGGACATCAGGGTGGGATCAGAGCCACGGCGGCGGCGGGGTTAGGGTTGCAGGGGCATCAGTCACACGGCGCTTCTTTCCTCCTTCGGCAATAACAAATTCTTGTGAATCCTTGCAGGAAGCAGCCAGGCGACCCCCATGGAGAAGAGATGCTGGGTTGAAGAGGGCCGGTCAGGCTCCGGGGCTTCCCGCTAGATGGAGGTGTTGTCCTTCCCAAGCACGCTCAGGACCAGGAACAGACCTCTGGAGCTGCAATTTATATTTTTTTTTGTTACCAAATGGCAATATTTGAAATGTCCAGAGGTGGGGGAAACAGCTGTCCTTGTCGTTTTCATGCTGGGCGCCCAGCGGGCAGGGAGGTGGCGAAGTCGCAGCAGGAGAAAAGGCCACTTCTGCCAGTTTTAGTATCCGGACATTTTTGTTTACTTCCATGGAGCCTAAAAGGGGTGGGGTGGGGTGGGGGAGGAAAGCAACCCCCTGACCTCATTTTTCCTGCTTCCTCCCCTCTTTTGCTGCCTGTAATAAGAGGAAGGGGAAGGTTAATACACTTCTGAGGACTCTCTACCTGGAAAACCCATAAGTCAGAACTGACCTGGCGGCACATGAGTGTTATTATTATTATGCACAACTATCAAGGCCTGGGCTCTTCGTTTGGGATGCAAGCAAGACTAAATGCACCAACAGTCTCAGGCGCTTGATGGGGTGGGTGGGTAGGATGATTACCCGCTTGAGATAGTGATGAATCAGAATTCCATTGTCATGTTTCCAGCATTTCTTCTTGGCATGCAAACCGGAGACGCCGCGTAGCGACCGGGAAACAAATGACTCAAGTGAAGAGAGACGGCTGGCAGTGGAGATTTGTACGCATGCCGTGTGGTTGCTGGGGGGGGGGGGGGGGGGGGGGGGGGGGGGGGGGGGGGGGGGGGGGGGGGGGGGGGGGGGGGGGGGGGGGGGGGGGGGGGGGGGGGGGGGGGGGGGGGGGGGGGGGGGGGGGGGGG